CCTTAAACTTGTGGTCTTCCTGCCTTGGCTTGCTGAGTAGCTGGGGTTATAGATACTGCTCCCACTAAGATTTGATTAAAAAAAAAAACTATCTCTTATTGTTTTATCTCTTTAGTTCATTTTCATATTCTCCAACTCCTTATCTTTAGATATTATATTCTGGGTAGTTTCTTTAGTTTTATCTTCCAGTTTACTAGTGTAATATCCTATCTAACCAATCAACTGCATTTTGTGTTTCAACAGATGTACACACACACACACATGCACCCACACATCTGTGTGTATGTATACCCGCGCGTATGCGTGTGTTCTTGTTTGGGGTTGCCATAACAAAATATGTGAGGCTGGATACTTTATAAGTAAATAAATTTGAGTCACAGTTCTAGTGGCTGGAAGATCCAAACAGCTTGGTGTTGGCATCCTGGGGAGACCCCCATGCCCCACCACCTTGGCTGTGTCCTGATACGGTAGAGAAGCAGAAAGGAGAACAGACACATGTGTGTCGGGGCAGCCTTGCCTTTTAACAACCTCTCTCCTAAGAACTGACTCTTGGAGACCCACCCCCATCTGCAAGACCTGCCTTAATCCATCAGGAGGTTGGAGACCCCAGGGCCTAATTACCTTCCACTGGACCCCATCCCAATACTAACAAACTGGGGACCAAGCTTCCAACACGGAACTCTGGGAGACAAACCATCTAAACTGTAGCAGAACATTTAAACTGTGCTTCTGCTGCTTAGGCCCCAGGTTGGGGCAGTTGAGTGGCAGCCTGACAATGATACATGTATCATGGCGGTGACTTCAGTGTCTTGGAGGACTGTCTGGAGCTATATTCTTAGCTCTCAGCAGTGGCTCCGGAACTTTCATACCAGATCGTCAGGACATAGTTCAGGGAGGTGCTGACTGAATTCCAATAAGATATAGAGACTTTATTTACTCAAGTACCTCCATCCCCTCCCCATCTTCTGTCATTCTTAGGCATATCACAACTATCCATGTAGCACAGCCCCCATAACATGCTGCAATAATTATTGCTTTACATAGTCTATGTCTTTTAAAGAATACAAGAGAAGAAAGGAGAGCACAGATTTATAAATATAAATACATATCGTGTATATATGGTCTTCCGATTTACTACTTTTAATGATGATTATTTCTTCCTATGGACTGAAGTGACAATAAGTGTCATTTCCTTACCCCATGGAAACTTGATTCTCACCCCTTTCTTTGTGTTGTTATTATCAAATATATTACATTTCTGGATGATATAGGTCCAACAGTACAATTTTATAGATGTTGTTATGTAATTTATTTTTAAATCAGTTAAGAAGGAAAAACAAATATGGAAATATACTTTATTGTTAACTACAAAATTATAGAACTGTATAACAGAACTCTTGGTGTACACACACATTTGTGAGTGTGTGTGTGTGTGTGTTTGAATTATTATCTTGGATCAATTCATTTCAGCTTGAAGAATGTCTTTTAATACTTTTTGTAAAGCAGGTCTGAATTCTTTCAGTTTTAACTAATCTTGAAATTTTAAAAATCTCACCTTGATTTTTGAAGGATAGTTTTGTTGCATATCTAAGACTTTTGGTTGCTTTTTCCTTCAGCATGTTGAATACACTATGCCATTGTCTTTTGGCCTCCATTGTTTCAGATAAGAAGTCAGTTATTCATCTTTATTGTGGTTCCTTTTTATGCAATGAGTCTTTTATTTTATTTTATTTTTCAAAATTTTCTCTTTCTAGTCGACTTCCTATATTTTGACAATGAGATGTCCAGGTGTGGCTCTCTTTGCCTGTGTAGCTGGATCTTTTTGAGCTCTTTGGGTGTCTAGATGGATGTTTTTCCTGACATTTGGGAAGTTTTCAACCATTGCCTCTTCCAATCTTATTTCTGTCTCTCTCTGTTCTGTTTGGTGTTGTCATTATACATATGTTGATTCACTTAATGGCGTCCTGCATTCTTCTGAGGCTTTGCTAATATTCTCCATGCCTTTTTTTCTTAAGATTGCATAATCTCTATTGATCAATCTCTCAGTGTGATTATTTCTTCTTTAACCAACTCAAATTTAGAGCTGAGAATCTAGTGGGGTTTTCATTTCAATAATTAAACTTTTTAATTCTAGAATTTCAATTTGTTTTTTTTAATCAAAATAATTTCTGTCTTCATATTGATATTCTATACTTGCTGAGTCATTGTTACTATACCTTATTTTAATTATTTAAACATGGTTTATTTGGTACTTGAAACATGCTTATAACACCTGCTTTGAGGTCCTTGTTTGCAACATCTGGACCACCCTCAAAGGCAGTTTCTGTTGCCGGCTTCTTCCCACCCCTCTATAAATGGTTCATACTCTCCTCTTTTTTGTAACTTTCTTAATATTTTGTTGAGAACCAAGCATTTTAGATGATAAATTGCAGCAAATTTAGATAATAATTCTTCCGCCTCCCTCTAAGRCTCAATGTTGGCATTACTGTTTGGTCAATTGTTCATTTGTTTCATGTCTTGGCTGAACTAATTTCATAGTCTATGTTTATCTATTTAGTGACTTGGATGAACTAATTTTTGAAGTCTATTTTCACCCACAGTGTGCAGCCTCTGATGTCCCTGTTCAGAATTTTCCTCCTTGGTTTTTGTTGGGGTTTTTTTTTTTATTACTTATGTTCCTAGGTGTTGGCTTGGATTTAAATAAGTCACTTATTAGTGAAAAGTTGTCTTAAACCCCTTGGCTAGTTAGAGTTTACCTTTCACTTTGGACTGTGTGTTTGGGTTGGAGACTGCTTTCACATAGCACAGGGTGCTTATAATGTTGCGCCATGTGTGATCAGGAGTCTGGATCTCAGAGCTCCTTTCTCCAGCCACTCTGGAGAGCAAGCAGCCTTGGGCATGCCCTACTCACAGTCTTCCTGACCAATAGGAAATGAGTATGATTCCTAAGAATCTCTTTGCAAAGAGATTCTTAGGAATCATACTCATTGTTTGGTCAGAGTTCATGTTTAAGCCCACGAGCAGTCAGCCTGGTGTGTTTTGCTGATGGAAGTATGTGGGGTTTGCAGAATTATTTTCAAGTCTGCCAGGGCTTTCCACTCTGATCTCTCCCAGCGGGTGCCACCCATGGACACAGTCTCCTTCCACCCCCAAAGATGACTGTGATCCTAGAAAAGCTATTCTTGCCTGTGTCTTTCCCTGGATCCTCATTCTGTTTCTGGCCTTCACGTTTCATTTGTTGTGATCAGCATCTCTTAATTGCTGCCCATCAGGATTCCCATTGTTGCTGACAACTTCTCCAGTCTCCTTTCCAAATAAACTCAGTTCCCTCAGGTAAAGCTATGGAATTCTCCACCCTTAAAGTCTTTTTCTCTCTGTGGTCAAAGTTTCTGCAGAGCTACACTAGATCTGGGGTGGGAAGGTCAGCTCGCTTCTCCTGGAACAAGATCCTCTTTCCAGTGGGCACTAAAGTGAGGGATGGTGTCCCTTGATCTTCTCAGGTTGCCCCTCTTGGCAGGGACCTCCGTCCCATAAGAGAGTTAGAGTCCCGTATTCCTTGTGTGGCTTCTCTGTGCCCTTCTAGCAGAAGCTGGGCAGACAGAGTGAGTGTTGTGGGTTAATTAATATGTTCAAATAAAAAATGGCTTGCTGGAGTCCTAACCCCTGGTACCCTGGAGTTACCTTATTTGGAATAGGGTCTTGACAGAGGCAATCAAGTTGAAATGAGGTCATTAGAAAGGGCCCTCATTCAATATGACTGGTGTCCTTCTAAAAAGGGGGAAGGAGAACCCAGAGACAGATGCACACAGAGGAAAGTCGGAGTGAAGACACACGGGGAGAGACCCACGTGGGGACAGAATGGTACAGGCACCAGCTGAGGAATGACCAAGGCGGCCGGCAGACCGTCGATGCTAGGATGAGCTGAGGAAGGATCTCCCTGCAGGTTCCACGGAGAAAGGAGGCTATGGACGCTTGGATCTTGGACTTCTACCTTCCAGAACCGTAAGGCCATAGATTTCTGTTCGGGTGTCCATTCCACGGTGCTGTGTCATGGCGGCCCCAGGGAACCCCCTCCTCTTAGCCGTGATTGCCTGGACCCAAACCCCTGCCATCCAGGGCTGTGGGGACAGGAGACACRGGCGGCCTGCCTCTTCTGGGGTGCAGCTAGAGGAGACGAGGGGAGACGGAGCCCTACCTCCTTGGCTGCACCCATGCAGGGAAAAACCTCGGGAGTGGAGCTTCCGTCTCCTAAGGCTGGGGTTGGGGACAGGAGCACCGTGTGGCCCCAATACCACAGACTCCACTGCTGTCCCTGAGACTGAAGGATCCGCCACACCTCGTCCTCCCCTTGCTCTATGCCCTGGGAGACTTTAAATGGTTTTCAAATCTGCTAAATGGCATTTTGCTGGGGAGGGGGTCCCCCGTGCTCCTCACTGGTGTTCTGGAAACGACTTTTGCTGAACCGTTGGTGGATTTGGATGCAAGGAGCTTCAGCTCGGAGAAGACCCCATCACTCGGCCTTCCCCTCCTCCCTGAGGACCAGAGTCCTCCCTCGCCTCTACCCCCACCCTTCACTGCAGTGGAGACAACGGGCACCAAGACCCTCCCCTCTGCRGGACAGCAGCGGGAAGAGGGCAGAGAGAAGTCCTGACCCTCGGCACACGGTGGAAGATGGGCACTGGTGGGACCCAAGGGCACGAGGAAGCAGGGGGCCAATCCCAGGAAATGGAGAAGAGTGGTGGGGGCAAAGGGGAGTCAGGGAGCAGGACTGGGGTGTCACTCGGGTTTCTCCACACAAGGACAGGGTGAGGGAGTGGGGGGCCGGAGAGGAGGCTGGAGCCAGGCCCCTGCCAGGTGTAAACGGCACACAGCTGGTGCTCACTTAACAGTCTTACTCCCTCTTTCTCTTCTCCAAAGCACACCCTTTCCCCACACCTGGCCTTTAAAGGTTTATTGGATTCAGATGTAAGTGTAGGATGAGCACCGGCCAACCCCACTGGTCCACCAGCCTCGGAACCGGGATGTCCGAGACGTGCTCTGGGTCTTTCCCAAGGGCCCTCATCTCCTCCCAGGGGAAGGCAGAGGCGCCAGGCCCCCTCCGCTCGCCCCAGGCCGCCACGGGCTCAGGGCGCTGTGCTGTAGACGCCGTAGTTGTCCTTCTGGGTGATGTGCAGCTTCCAGGGGAAGAGGCRCTTCTGGGAGGGGAGGCCCTGGGCCTGCTTCACCATGAGCCGCACGTCCTCGTCCGACAGCAGCCTGACCAGGTCCCCCTCGGCGTCCTGGTAGTTCAGGGCGATGTCCTCCCTCTGGAACTCCCGCCTGCGGGGGACAGGTCAGGGCTCATCTGGGGCCTTGGGCGTGAGCAGAGAGGCAGCCCGGATCTGAGAGCCCGAGGAGGTCAGCTCCATGCAGGTCTCACCTCCAGGCGCCCATTGTGCAGACGGGGAAACCGAGGCTTAAAGGGGAGGAGGGTTTTCACGTGACTTTAGTGGACTGGGCTGAAGTGTCTTGCAAGCAATGCTATGAACTGTCCTAAGAACTGTCACAAACAAGAAGAAGCAAGGCTTCGGTGGGCACAGAGCCGAGCAGAGAGAGTCCCAGAAAGAGACGTGCGTGGAGCTGAGGACGGGACCTGTCCTGTGCAGGCAGCAGGCGGGTGGCTTTCTCCCACCCGCTGGCGGGGCGAAGATCATCGACTCTCCTGGGTAACCTGGCCCACTGGGCCTGAAGTCTGACTTGTGAACCCTGATCCCATCAACCCCTCACGAGACAGTGAGCAGACAGGCCACCAGATGTGCCAACAAAGGTGGTCGTCACAACGGGGTGTAAAGTCACAGAGGGGCGGTGACCTAAGTGGCCGATCAAAAGGCATCCACAGAACGAATGCCTTGATCATGGTGCCCGGTGTGTGTGAGTGTGTGTGTGTGAGTGTGTGTGTGTGAGTGTGTGTGAGAGTGTGTGTGTGTGTGTGTGAGTGTGCGTGTGTGCGTGTGTGTATGTGTGTGCATGTGTGTGCGTGCGTGTGTGTGCATGTGTGAGTGTGTGCGTGTGTGTGCGTGTGTGTGTGTGTGTGTGAGAGAGTGTGTGCATGGAATAGTGAGAGGAGTTAAAAGATCACGTGGTCCGTTCCCGGGGCCTTTCTGACCTTAGGGTCTCCACATTTCTAACGGGTCGGTCTCACTTTCATGGTAAGGAGCATCACCACGCTCTTACGGTCCCATGAAATGACCACGGCCACCACCTGGGTCTTGGAAGGCAGTGAGCTCCCTGGCGGTGGAGGGCCCAAGTTCAAGGCGTTGCGTTAGAGAGCCCAGTTCTAGTTGTACCTCTGGAGTCACACACTGTGACCGCAGCCCAGGCCCTTTGCCCCTCTGCAGCTCCCTCCTGGGCTCCTGTCACATGGAGAGGGGACACCCAGGCTGCGGGGTTCGGGAGAAGGCGACCTGGAAGCAGGACACCCACCACCCCTCGGGAGGTGTGTCCCCCCTCTTTCTCATCTCCAGGCGGACTCCCCCTGCCCGCCCGCCCTCACCTCATGAGCTCCAGCAGGTCTTTGAACAGTGGAGTGCTGTTGAGGTCCTCCTCCACGGCAATGTCCCTAAGAGCAACAGGAGGTGGGGGACATCAGGCTGGAAGGCGGCACCAGGGTGGGCTGGGCACGAGGCTGGACCTCCACGTCTGACAGCTGCACYGTGGCTGCTCCCAGAGGGAGGGGGAGCCACCGCGGGCTTTGGAGGTGGTGACGGGTGGGCCGGCCCCTCCCCGCGGCCACGCACTTGATGGTGCTGATGGTGTCCTCGTAGTAGAAGCAGCGCAGCCAGTTGGTGGGGTCGTCCTCCTCGGGGAAGTCCTTGAGGATCTTCACAAAGGAGGTCGGGAAGATGCCCGTGGCCCCCTGGGACGTGCCCTGGGGAGGAAGGAAGGGGCTGCCTGGGTGGGAAAGAAGGGGCAGCGGGGCCACGCCTCAGCGCCCCGGGCCCCTGATGTGACAGGAGAAAGCAGAGGAGGTCTGGGTCCCCTGTAGAGGGCGGGTGCTATGGTTTGGACATGGAATGTCCCCAAAGGCCCAGGGATAAGGGCCTGGTGCCCAGGACGGTGCTGTTGGGAGGTGGTGGACCTTTAAGGGGCGGGGCCTGGGGGAGGTCCTTAGATCATGGGGGGGGGTGTGACCTTAAAGGGAACAGTGGGACCCTCGCCCCTTCCTCCTGCTGTTTTCCCAGGTGGCTCCCAGCCATGGGGTGAGGGGTTGTGCTTGGTCCCAGGTCCCATGTTCCTACTGCGACGCACCCCGAGGCCAGCTGATCATGGGCTGGGAGCTCAAAAAACGTGCGCCCCAACAAAGCTTGTCCCTTTTACAAGTAACAGAAGCCGACAGAGAGGGAGGTGAGGACGCTCCCCACTGTCCAGCCGGGACTCCGCTGGGCTTTGGAATTCAGGTCAAGGCCTGAACTTTCTGGAAAGAGTTTTCACCCCATTCATTCATTCAAAAAAGACTCCCAGAGCCCCAGCTGTGTGCAGGCTCTGGGCACCCAATGTAGGTAACCCTCTGTGCCCTCACGGAGAGCCCATGACCTGGAGGGTGGCAGGGGACATTGGACAAGCAGGTGAACCGTACAGTGACAGATGGTGGCAGGTGTCAAGGAAGAAATTCAGAGGGAAGGGAGAGAACAAGGGGTGTGGGGGGGCMGTCGGGGATCCCTGAGACACCCTGAGTCCCAGGACCTGGTCCGGCTGGTGTTTTGTGCACTTTGTCCCTCGACCTTCAGGACAAGCTGACAGGAGACACCTTCCTTCTGTACAAACACATAAATGAGGGTCAAAGAGACRCCCTTCCTGCTGCCCTGCCCCTCCTGCAATCTGAGGCCACGGCTGACCGGGCTCCTGACACACAGGGCTTTCTAGAAAAGAGCAGGAAGGGAGAAGACTTCCTCTTTCTTCAGAGAGACCCGAGCTGCCCCTGGGGCAGCCGCGAGGTGGGAGGAGCCTCAGCTGGGGTAAAGGGAGACTGCCGCGTCCCCTAGATGGTCACCACGTGCTGCTCTGCAGTGTCTGGACACCAGGCTGCTTCCTCCATGGTGCCAGGGGCCCTGGGGCTGGCCCCGCCTCAGCCTGTCCCAGAAATACCACGTCCGAGGCCAGCGCCTCTCAACCCCGAGTGACTCTGTCCCCAGGAGAAGATGTGGACCGGGGGTGGGTGATGGGCATCTGCTGGGGAAGCCAGGGGTGCACCAGGGACAGCTCCTATGAGGCCCAGGGCCAGCGGGGCCCTGCTGAGGAAGCCTCCAAGACCAAGACGCCGAGGTCAGTACCCCTCACCTGCCCAGGGCCACCCGCTCCTTCACCCGGAACCAGCGGCAGGTTTAGGGGCTCCAGAATGTTCTGCTCCCAGCACGCACCTGCCTCCCAGGTGAGTTCTCACAGCCCCAAACCTCCAGACCTCAGATGGCATCTCTTCCCTGAGACTCYGGGCACCTTCCTCCAGCCCTTCCTCTGCCCAGCACAGCTCCGTGACTTCAGCTCCATCCTGACCTCCAACCTGACCTCCATCCTCACCTCCTAGCCTCCATCTTCCTTCCATCCTCACCTCCAGCCTCACCTCTATCCTAGCCTCCATCCTCACCTCCATCATCACCCACATCCCAGCCTTCAACCTCACCCCCATCCCAGCCTCCATCTTCACCTCCATCTTCCTTCCATCCTCACCTCCAGCCTCACCTCTATCCTAGCCTCCATCCTCACCTCCATCATCACCCACATCCCAGCCTTCAACCTCACCCCCATCCCAGCCTCCATCTTCACCTCCATCTTCCTTCCATCCTCACCTCCAGCCTCACCTTCAGCCTCATCTCCATCCTAGCCTCCATCCTCMCCTCCATCGTCACCCCCATCCTARCCCCCAACCTCACCCCCATCCCAGCCTCCAGCCTCACCTCCATCATCACCCCCATCCCAGCCTCCAGCCTCACCTCCAGCCAGTCTTTGTTGACCCTACTGAGGAGGAAGATCACGTCTCCGGCTTTGAAGCTCAGCTCCAGTTTGCTGTTCCCAGTGAAGTCAAACAGGGCCTGTGGAGCAGCACGGGGGACACAGTCACTGAGCCCCTCCTGAAGTGCCTCGCGGGCTTGGGCCTCCTGTTTTACAGATGAGGAGACTGAGGCTCAGGGAGGAGGCTGAGGCACGGTGGGYTGGTGGAGGAGCTGGGATGGGAGCCCAGGTCTCCCCGAGTCCAGGACGGCGCTCCCCCAGAGCTGGTGGGATGCACAGGGCGGGGAGGGCTGACTCTCCAGACCAGCCTGGCTCCGGCCCCCAGGCCTCCCCCCCCCCAGCTGCCCTCCCCCACAGGGTTTGGAAATGCCACTCGGGGGCCGCGAGCACCTGGAGCACAGGACCTGGTCTGAGTCATCTCTGAGGCTTCGGTCCCCAGCAGGGCACCAGCTCTGGAATGGAGATGGAGGGAGGCCCCCTCCCCTGCCTGGTCTTGCCGGTCAGTTCCCGGGTGTCCGAGGCTGAGCCGCGGCCCCTCACTTCCTGCAGAGCCCCTCACCTCCCAGACCCACAGGCTGACGGGGCGCGGCAGGGTACCTCTGCGCGTGGAGCCTCCAGGCGGTCCAYGCCGGGGCCCTTGGGGGACACGCTCTTGCTGTGGAGAGAGGGGGGCGTCAGCCTCCCTCCYGGTTCCCTCAGGCCCAGCCCCCCCCCTGTGCTGGGGGCTCCTGCGAGGGTCGGGCGGCCAGAGGGCCAGGGCCATGTGCAGCACCCAGGCCAGCCACCTTCCTCCTCGCCACGCTGGGGCCTTCCCCGTGGCCCAGGAAGCAGGGCCCAGGAGGGCGGGAGGGGTGGACGCCCAGCGCTCAGGGCCTTCAACCAGCCCTCCCCTGTGTCCCCAGGGAGGGTCCCCGCAGAGGAAGCCAGGTGACCGCCCTGCTCCAGGGCCCACTGCTGGGCCGCAGCTGGAACTGAGGTCACCCAGCCTGGTGCACGGGGAGAGGTCACTTGCCGACGCGGGCTGGAGGGGACACTGGAGGCAGGGCGGGCCTCTGACGCTGGGGCCTGAGTCCCCCCACCCCCGCTTGGCCTTGGAAGCCCCCCACTATTCAGCTGCTTTGGATTTGGGGGTTATTTTCTGCCCATGAAGCCAGGAAGGGAGGGRCGGGCTCTTTGAATCAGGAGCCTCAGCGTCCACCGCTGGCCGGCGGGGGACTCCGGCCACCAGGGACACTCGGGAGGGAGTGTCTGCGTGGAGTGGCCCTCCACTGCCTCTCCTCTCCCCCTGCCCTCRGGCACCCAGGACCCGAGCCACCTCCCGTGGGTGCTGGGGCACTGGATCTTCCTGGGGCCACCTCCCAGCCCCGAGGTCCTCGCCTGTCCCCCAGCCCTGAGCGTGGCCTCAGGGCAGAGCTGAGCTCCTCCTTCTCTCTCCTCCCAGGGAGAAGACGCTTTCCCAGCGGGGACTCTGGTCCAGTCCTAGCCACTTACACTTTGCGGGTGCGCGGGCGGAGCCGCCGGAGCGCCTGGGGCACTTGCTCCGAGTCGTAGGTGGACTGGTAGAAGAAGATCCTGACGTCCGGGTCCATCAGCACCCAGACGGGCAGGCTGAGGAGTTTCTGCAGGGTGAGGGGCAGGACAGGGTGGACGGTCAGCAGAAAGTCCTGCGGGTCCCAGCTCTGCTGCTCCACCCTGTCCCCCGACCTCAGCTGCCTCTCCACTCAGGCTTCCCAGGCTTGATGACCAAAGCCAGCCGCTCAGAGTTCTTTCAAAGCCAGCAGGCTGAAGGTGACATGTCACGGGCTTTGCTTCTGGGGACCACTGGCTTGAGACCAGTTCATCTGGAAATAGCTACAGGCCTCCAGAAACAGCAGCAACAGTGACAACAGGTGACAGTGCCGGGCACTGAGCTGAGTGAGTACCAGTGGGACCCTCTCGCAATAAGCTGTGAGTTAGGATCAGAGAGGGAAAGGACTCGCCTCAGGGCCACACAGCCTAGCAAGTGACAGAGCTGGGGCACTCAGGGTCACAGCTGCTAAAGCTCACCCCTGAGCTCAAGTTGAGGCAAGATGGGCGTGTTCCCCCAGTAACTCCAGTTAACAGCAGTTGGGCAGAAGTGACAGTGAATGGGGCTTTTCTAAGAGCTGTTTAACCATGGAACAAGCAGCCTGGGCCAGGCAGGGCGACAGCCAGCTCCTGTCCCTGAGGGTGTGCCACCTCCGGATGCTGTTGACACSGCGAAGCTTCCTGCACTGAGGACCCAGGGTTCCAGGAGCCCAACGGGACACACACAGGCAGAGAGAGGCTCCCCTGGGCCTCTGGTGGCTAAGACGGGCCCTGGGGTTCAGAGCATCCCCCCAGCTGCCCTCCGCCAGGCCAGACTGCCCGTTTGTAGGTAAGAAAACCAAGGCCTCTCTGGGGACGATGGCCGGCTGGCCCAAGTCACCCAACCGGTCAGCGTYAGAGCCGAGACCAAAGGCTCCGAGTTCAGTGCTTTGGGCTGTGAGGTCCCCCGGGCTGTGAGCAGGACGACTTCCCTCTAGCTTCCCCAGGCTGCGGTGGAGCGAGGCTGGCACGTCCCTGGTGACGAGGTGTCACCACCTCCTGGGGAGCACGCTCTTAGGAAGCTCCTCCCGTGTCCCACCTCATGGGGAGGCGCCGGTCTGSGGGTGGGAGACTCGGCAAGGCCACCAGCCAAGACCAGTGAGAAGAGCCGAAATGCGGCCCGTGCTCAGGGAGGGGACGTGCCACCCCCGGGACCTTCTCTAGTTGGCACAAGTTTGCCGTCTGGGTGGGACAGCCTGGTCGCCATCCCCCCGTGACRCAGGCCTATGTGTGTGGCTCCTGTGGCCACCGTCCACCTGCTGGCCTTCCCRGGGCCCCTCAGGAGCAGGCCTGACCCATCCACACGGACCCGACACCAGGCGTGGACGTGGCCTGGGGGCCTGGGCGCTGCGCAGAGGTCTGCCTGTTCACACTGCAGCGCCCCAGGAGCTCCCTGCTTCTCTCCCCAGGCCRGGCCTGTGGGGACCTCAGGAGGGGGCCTGTTCCCAGAGCCACTCCMGGGGAGCACCCGTGCCCAACCCCCAGTGCCTCCCGAGCAGAGGTGGCGCGGCCCGCGGTACCTTCATGTAGGCGTTGAGGGCGGGTATGCGCATCTCGGCGATCTCCTGCTTGACCCCCATGTAGACCTTCACTGAGGAGGAGAGGTGTCCCGGAGCTGGCAGTGGTGCTGCCCCCCCAGGCCACGGCGCCAGGAGCCACGGGGCCTGTACTCGGCCATTTCCCCGTCACCCAAGACAGCGGTCCCCCACCCTGGACGCATGGTCAGGCCCCGAGCAGCTGTCACACATCTCGTTATGATCGACTCCCTCCAGAAAGAGGCACTGGGATTTCTGGGGTGGCACTTCTCCGGCATTAGATTCTCTAGACCTCACAAGCTGCCACCTTCCAAGGTGCCACCAAGGTTAAACTGTGGGTCCTAAGTCACGTGCCATGAGCGAATCAGTGCTCAAAAGCAAGAGCGCTCTGGGGGCAGGGCCAACAGGTGACGGGCAGCCAGGAGACAGACGTCCTCTCCAGGAGCCAGCACCCAGACAGCCCGCCAGGAGGCAGGTGTGGCACCTGCCTGGCCCCCAGAGGCAGGAGTGTGACAGGCGAAGTTCAGAGAGGTGGTCGCTGCCAGGGAGGCTGGCAGCCTCTCTGTGCCAGGAGGGAGCTCACAGGCTAAACCCTGGTTCCCACGTCAGACTGCCAGGGGACCCCGAGGGCGCCGCCCGGGGCTGGGCCTGGCTCGGCAGGCAGCACCCTGGGAGCGGCCAGCCTACCTGGGAGCGTGGGCAGGCTGCAGGTGAACMGACTGGTCTTGCTCTCTGGCCCGAACCGCTCCTCCAGCTTGCTCTGCAAGGCATAGAACTGGCGGTAGCGGCGGTAGATAAGGTACTTGGATCCCCCTTTTGTCTTCACCTCGATGACAAAAACCTAAGGAGGACAGAGGCCCCGGAGGGCATCGAGGTCAGGAAAAGAAGCCAAAAGACAGAGGGTGGAGGCTCAGAGGGTGGAGGCTCAGAGGGTGGAGGCTCAGAGGTCCTGGAGAGGCAGCAGTTTCTCTGAGCCTCAGTGCCACATTGGTGCTGGATAGTTCTTCACTGGGCTGTCCCCTGGGCTGCAGCAACCCAGGACTCTACCCACTAGATGCCAGTAGCAAGCAGCCCTGCCCAAAAAGAGGTAAGAGACCAAAGGTCTCGGGGTATGGCCAAATGTCCCCGAGGGGTAAAATGGGTCCTGTTGAGAATCACTGAGGTARAAGCTGAGGGATGAAAGTGGAGGTCCAGAGGTCAGAGGGCAAAGGTTCAGAGGTCAGAGGGCGAAGGACCAGGGCGGGCTCTTACAAAGTGGCTGGTGAAGCCCCTCTTCTCCTCGATGTCGGCGATGTTGGCTGAGATGGCCACGTCGTCCGGAAGCTGCTCAAAGTCACTGAGGAGGCAGAGGGGAGGGTGTGATCATCACCCTGAGGTGCCCCAGGCCCACGGGGCGCGAGGCAGGGTGTACCCTGCGCTCCCCCGCCAGCACCCCTGCCCGTGCCTGGCTGTCACTGCACTGGGCACAGAGTGCAAGGGAGCTGGGGGGGACCAGGTGTCACCAGCCGGACGCCGTCTCCCAGGTGGCTCTACAGTGAGCTCAGCAAGGGTCAGGCCTCCTCCGTGCCCGGCCCTGCTAGGCCTGGGTCCAGGCAAACAGCCCGGACAGAGKCCCCCAAAGACATCTGTTAAAGGCTTGGTCCCTCAGCTGGCCCGACTGGGTGCTGTGGACCTAGGATGGGGCCCAGGGGCCATCCTGGGACAGGAGGGTGGGACACGTGCTCCAAGGGGACTGMGGGGCCCTGCGCTCTGGCTCCGCTTGGTTCATGACATCAGTGGTTGGCTGTGCCACGGCTCCTGCTGCCATGTGCTGCCATCACCAGGGCCCTGGGCAGTGGGGCCACAGCCTTGGAATAGGCCTCCAGACCCGGGAGCCTTTTCGTTTTATAAGCTGAGCACCCGGGTATCTCCTGACAGTACCACGAAGCTGACAGATCCAGACTCCCAGAGAGAAGGGCTGATCCTGCCGTGCTTGGGAAGTCCACAGAGAGGAGGTGGCCTCTGAGCCAGGTCTAGGCAGTCACACAGGAAGCCACCAAGTGAGCCAGGGAGGGTGTGCCCGGCAGTGGGACAGCATGTGCTAAGGCTCTGAGCCGGAGGAGGGGGCCGGGTCTGGTGCGGGCAGAACCTGGTGCCATCTGAGGCTGAAGAGCAGGGGGGTCCCCGTGTCGGGCAGGGAACTGCAGCAAGTTCCCGCGAGGAGGTGCAGGCCCCCGTGGAGAGGGTCAGAGGCAGCGTTAGGGGACACCGCGCCCCTGGGAGCTCCTCAAGGGACCAACAGGGAGAGGATTCAGGCCTGAGCCAACAGCAGGGACAGAAGCAGGGGACACAAGGGACAGCACCTGGCAGATGCTGCTTGCATTCGCTGTGTCCCCTGCTCTTCCTGGCTCATCAGTGTTCCTTTGTTCAGAGTGGCCACGTGCCCATCCYCAAGGGCAGCAGGCTCCCTCCTGTCCCCGGCCCCCCTGCAGCTCAGAGCTGCCATGTGACCCGTCCCAGCCCATGAGAGCTGAGAGACGACCTAGTCCAGGAGCCTCTGGAGAGTGTTGGCTTTCCTGGTCTGGAGGGATGGACGAGGCTCTTTCCATGAAAGCAAGTGTGACATCCGGATCTGCAGCTGCCCCAGGGCATTTGTGAGGCAGAAGCATCTCTGAGCTKCGGATCCTGAGGTCACTGAGCTGAGGACCAGCTGTGGCTCCCTCTGGACTTCTTGTYGTCTGAGCAAACAAACCCCTGGTCATTGCTGAAGCCACGTCAGTTCCTCTTTCCCTGCAGCCTAACGCACTCCCCAGCTGTGAGTTGTCCCTATTRTGACCAGCAGGGTGTGGGCACTGGGGGGGGAGGAAGACCAGTGTCAAGAGTGACGCCTTCTGACCGGGAGCGGGAGGAGCAGGGTGCAGGGCTCAGCCAGGGGCAGGCTTGTTCTAGAGCCCCACGGGGGGGGGGGGAGAACAGGGGGCTGGGGGCTGGGCTTCAGTGGCAGAAGTAACAGCCTCCGTCACCTCCTATGTCACCTCCTATGTCTCCGAACCCCAGGGAAGAGCCATCAGTGAGCAGTGACCAGGAAAACGGCCAGGAGAGGGGACAGACACACTCAGCCGCTGAGTCCTGCCCTTTGTCAACAGACAGAAACGGAGAAGCCAAACCATGAAGCAGGGAGGCGCTGCCACGCCCAAGGCCCACAGGTGTCCCCGACCGTCCCCAAGAGACCTGGTCCTCCCAGGGTGGGGGGCTGCTTCAGAACCCAGGAGCTGCCACCAAGAGTGACCGAGGTGCAGATGAACCCCCCAGCTCGCGCGCCTCTGGCTGCTGGTGACTGTCCCACTGGCCTCCGCCTTGCCCCGAGTCGACACCCGGGGACACGCTGCCCCCCACTTCTCCCCAGGGCTGCTGCGAATTTCATCTGCAATAAGACAGAGGTGGGGCCGGAAGGAACTGGAAGGGCAGGTTGGGCAAGACTCCCTCCAGTCCACGTTTCCTGAGTGGGCACCGGGCACAGGGCCCTCCTCCAAGACAGTGTCACCTTTGGCAGACGAGGAAACTGATGCACAGAGAGGTTGATTAACCTGCCCAAAGAAGCCAGGATTTGAGCCCCAGCAGGCTGGCTCCCGCGTTTCCTCTCGATCCTTCAGGCCCTCCCAGCAGCTGGCTATGGGAACACAGATGACCCCATCCTCTCCCCAGCTGCAGTAATGACCCARCAAACTCCATGCAGCCTTGACCCCAGGGCTGACACTGGCACAGCCACATTAAGACACAGTTCGTTGGACCTCCCAGCTTCCAAGGCAAAACGGGCTCTCGCAGGCTGAGGGTGGTCGGGAGGGCTTCACCAAGGAGCAGCGCCAGGGATCGCAAAGAGGAGCTGGCCAGGGGGCAGCAGAAAAGGCCTTTCAGGACAGGGAGATGGCATGTGCCAAGGCCCAGAGCCACACAAGGCCAGTAGAAGGAACTGGGGGGGAAGTGGGCGTGGCTGAGCCCAGAGCCTAGGCAGAAACGGCTGAGTGGCAGGTGCCACTCACCAGGGCCTTCCTGCCTGACTTTCCCTGGGGATGGAGGGGGTGGAGAACAGGTCAGGCAGGCAGAGGCAGAGCAGAGGGGTCCAGGCTCAGGTCCAGGCCTGCAAAGATGAAGACCCAATTTCCCCAAGGCCATTGTCAGCGGGGACCTTGGGAAAGGGCCTCACACGTTCTGGCCTCTGGCACGTGCTATAAAACAGAGGTGCCCGAGGCTCTTGTGTCTTTGGATGGCCACACGGTCCATCTGTAAGGAGCCCAGGCTGGAGGTCCTCAGGAGGGAGGGCAGGGACTGTGCTCACGACGCTTCCTCAGTGTGCAGACCGGCACCAGGCACTTAGTAGGTGCTCAACGCACAGTGGTGACCTCCATCTGATTTAKCGAGTGCGCACACAGGTGGGTGACTGTGGCCAGGAGCCTGCTGCATGGGAACTGGGCACGGAAACCGGGAACCAAGTTGGAAGCCTCCCAGGAGTGGCCACTCCCTCGGTGACCCCCACCCAAGTCTGTGGGGCCGGGTGCCGGGGCTCAGTGTACGGAGATGCTATTCCTGAAAAGTCCGCTTCGGGCCTGGACTGGGGAGGCCGGGAGCTGGCGGGGCCCAGGGTGGCCCCCTCGTCCATCTCTGACCTCAGAGTCCAGAGCCTCCCACTGGGTGAAGCTGTCCCCTGTGTGTCCTCTGCCCTGGCCTCAAGCAGAGCCACGCAGGACCCCTTTCAGGAGAGGCACTGCAGGAGCCGGAGGCCAGTGGCCCCCCGGGCCTGGCTACAGGGCCCCGTGACGTGGTGGGGGGCAGCCCGTCCCCCACTGAGGGTCGAGGGCACCTGTATCAGGGACAGAATGGGGACAGGCACACAGCCCCTGATGTCATCTCCTGAAGCCTGCGTCTCAAGAAGCAGGAAGTGGCCGAGTCCCACCAGCTGCAGTTTCCGGAGGGTTCCAGTGTGCGTGTCACCCCCCCCCCCCAGAGCTTGTCAGGAAGAGGGGCCAGGCTGGGCAGACGGCCGGTGTCACCAGGCCCCAGCACCACCCTCAGTGACCACGGAAGGCCACTGTGATGGCCCCATCCCCGACAGCTCCTCCCGATGCCCCCCGTCCCCTACACGTCCCTCTGAGACCTGGACCTTGGAAGTTCCACCCCGGCTTCCCCCCAGCCCCAGCTCCACCACGGCCCCCTCCCCACCGGGCCCCAGTCTGGCCTTTCTCTGGGAATCCTTGGGGGTTCACACGAGCACCCKCTCCCCGATGTCACCTGCTGTCCCCTGCCCGGGGACCCCTCAGCCGGAAGCTCAGGCAAAGCCTTGAGCAGGTGCAGGCCGAGCGTGGCTCCGGGGCCTGGGACGCCTGCGCGCGGAGCCCCAGCCTTGCCCCTCGGCTCCCTGCAACCCTGAGGGAGTCCCCGTCCCCTGAGGCCTCAGTGCCCAGGGGTGCAACCTCAGCTTTAGACCAGAGACCCAGGAGGTTCCAGCTCAAACTTGCATTCACTGATCCCTCCGCAGCTGGCACCGGGCACTTAGTGCCCTGGTCGCCCCCATCCTAGGGTCCAGGAGCGGCCCAAACAGACCAGAATAAATAAATAAATAAATAGTCACGGAGTTTGCTTCCAACAGGAGCCCGCRATGACAACCATCAGTGACATGCCGCCAGTGTGAGCACCAGGCAGAAACAGGGCCAGAGGAGGCAGGGGCAGCTCCCGACGGCTGCCTGGAGGAGGCGGCAGGGGAGCTGAGCCCTGAATTGGGAGGCAGGACGGGGCTAGGACTCCATTTGAGCAGACGATGGGAAAGTCCTCGCTGGCCACCAGGCAGAGGGAAGAGCCCCAGACTAGAAGCCGCGACACGGTGCAGGTTCCTGGGTTGCAGGTCTGACTCAACCTGGCCTCTCAYAGAGGAGGCTGGAGGGGACACCCCCACTCACCTCTCCGCCCGCAGCTGCTGGGCCAGGGCCATGGCGGTGGGTGCTCGGGGACAGGTGGAGCCGGTCCCTCGGCTGGTCCAGGCTGAGGGCCCTCCTCACTCCCTCCAGCTCCCCACCTCGGCTGCTGACCTGCCGTCCTGGGAGTCCCCAGGAGCCGCCTCCGGGAGGCCCCACCCCGCTGCCCTGGACCCTGGTGGCGGCTCCTCCTCTGGCCTCACTTCCTGTTCCCCACTCCCAGCTGCACAGCGATTGGGGAAGTCCCCTCCTCGGCGCCAGGCCCGCAGGAGGCCACTGACTTCCTTGGTGCTGGTCGCTGGAGCCAGGCCTCGGCTGGGCATCAGAAAGCCCCGCTCTATCAGAGACRCAGTGCACCTGCTGGTCTAGCCCCAGGGGCCTGTGACCTGGMCATCACTTGTCACCCTCGGGTCCCTCAAATCTCACCTCACTCCCTCAAGGCCAGGCCTCTGTCCCACGTGTCCCCAGGCCCGGAAGGCGGGTTTCCGCCTGGCCAGTCAATCCTTAGGCTTTGCCCAAATGCCGCCTCCTCCAGGAAGCCTCCCTGGCTCCTCTGCAGGCCTCAGCCTTATGGGGTGGGAAGGGTGGTTTAGGCCCCTTCTTCCCCTTCCCCTGGCCCTGTCCTTCCCTCAGCCCGAGATCCCGTGCCCAGCCAATCCCCTGGGCAGAGCTGCCAGTCGCAGGGACTTCACATCACAAGCCTGAAGGTGCCCTCCCTGCTCAGCCTCTTCAACTGCTCTACCCTGTGCTCAGGAGAAAGGCCACACCTCCACCCTACTGGCCTCAGAAYGCCCCAGCCTCCTCCCCCAGCCTCCGTCTCTGGAGTGCTCAGGAACTCTGCTCCCCAGGGTCCTGTGTCACTGTCACCTCTGCTGGGAAGCTCTCCTCCTGCCTCCTTGGGTCTCAGCTGGGAGGTCACCCTCTTCCTGAGGCCTCCCCTGACCCGTCACCCCCAGTCAGGCCCCTCTGTGTCGGCTCTTCCGGGTCCCTGCGCTCCTGCTGCAGATCACTGGAGACTCTAGGACTCCACGTCTGTGGGCGTGGGGGTGTGACGAGAGCCTTCCTGGCCAGCTCAGTGCAGGTGCCCGCAGGTGCCYGGCCAGCACAGGCAGGTGAACACGGAGCCTCCCCAGCCCCCACACACCTGGCTCTTCAGTCTGCAGGGAGCCCAGGGTGGAGCCAGAGTCTCAGGAGAGGAGCTGCCCCRGGCCCAGCACTGTCCCAGGGAGGCCCAGCTCCCCCGCTCCAGCCAAGCCAGAGCCCTGGGCTCCTCCCGAGAGCAGCCGTCCTTCTGGGCTGGGTGACAAGGTTTGGGTACTTTAGACGTACACATCCCAGCTCAAAACCAAGGAGTGTGATTTGCAGCTTCTAAGAGAGGGGGCAGTGAGCGGGGCTGGTGGGCCCCAGCCCGTGAGAGTGGATTTGGCTGAGGTTTTAGTGCCTGACCTGGGCCAGGTCCAGGCTACAGATCAAGTCAGAACCAATGACGGGAGCAGATTCCTCGCTGGCAACTTGCRGTGCCCGGGAAGTGGAGGTAGTCTCCCAGGTCATGGGAGGAACCAGGCCACCAGGTCCCTGTCGCAAGTCTGAAGCCTCCACTAGAGTGAGGTCCAGACACAAGCTCCCCACGGGGTGCAGAAATTCTCAGCCAAAATGTGGCATAAAAACAGTTTCAGGGCTGGGGACACAGCTCAGTGGGTAGAGGGCTGGCCCCGCAGGCCCAAAGCCCTGCTGGTTCAATCCCCAGCACCACACAAAAAAACCCCACCAGTTTCAGGGAGTCACCAAGTCTGCAGGGACTGTCCCCTGAGCTCACAGACCATGCTGCCCATCACGTAAGAACGCTGGCCCGAGGAAGGCAGCCCTCAGGCTCCACAGAYGGAGGATTCACCCACAGGAACCAGGAGTGATGCCGGGGAGGAATCCCAGCCAGGCACCGTGGCAGGCTCCCAGCGCAGAACAAAACAGAACCGCAGTCGCCGACGAGGCTGCACTCGGACCGAGAGGTGGAAGCACCTGGCCAGGACTGAGCAAGACGGTGTTGGCCAAGAGTTGGTCAAGAAGGACAGGAAATGACAAGACCGCYTCAGAAGAAAGTGGGACCCAGCCCTGGTCTGTGACCGGGTACGTGGTGTGTGTCCCACGGACGGCCGAAAACACATTTGTGTATAAACACACAGGTGTGGGCGGCAAGGGCTGTGTGTGTCCATAAAAGGTCACCTGGCGTGTGTGGCAGTGACGTCAGAACAGAGCATCTTTGGATGTTGGTGCCTTAGAGGGCGCACGGCGATGGTGGCTGCCCGTGCCTGTGTGACATGTCCTGGGCCAGTCCGTGTGCCTTCTGTGAATCTTTCTTTATTCCTGTGCAGACAGACCCACGTACTGGTGCTGGGGAAGAATGAGTGCGAGGAGTGTGTGGCCCGCACCTGGACACTGGGAACCTCCACCTGCGTGTGTTTCCAGGAGGACCAGCCCTCGCGCTCACGGTCCCAGACTGCCCCAGGTCCTGCCTCCTCGTACTCCAGCCCCAGCACCCCCAAACCCCTCCGGRGGGGCTGACTCAGCCACCGGGAGGCCTCCTGTGCAGCCGGGGATGTGGGTGTCCAGGAAGGAGACCGAGCCCGCGGCGGGCAGCCCTGCGCCTCCTCCCTCCTCTCCCTCTTCCTCTGGCCCTGTCCCAGGTTCTGCTGAATATGGCTGTTTCTCTGGCTCTGCTCACACCGAGTGCTGCTGCTAATTTTATGCCTGAGCTCTGATGCAGTGTAATTTGAGGCCAGACACGGTGTCAGCAGCGGGCCACCATCCTGCTGCCACGGGCTCCCTAGTCTCCTCCACCGTCTGTCTCCACCCTGGGTCTCCTGCAGGGAGAGAGTGACCCCAACAGGAGCCAGACTTTGCACACTGCACAAGCCCATCTGGGTGGGTACCAGGGATGCCTGATGTGACCTGTCCCAGATGGAGCTCTGACTCTGGGTCACCGCCACTCCCCGCAGCCCGAAAGCAAACCAGCAAGCCATTCGGGGGTTGGAGTCATTCATTCAAAGGCCACAGAAGAACCCCCCCAGGTGCCCGCCTTCCTGCCAGGTCTCTGCCAGAGCACACCCCAAACCACCAGGGGAGGGCGAGGAAAGCCACCAGGTCGCCAGAAGCAGGTGACAGTCAAGTCACAGCCCGGTGACCCTTTGTGACAGCCTCTCCAGGGAAAGGTGGAACGTGCTCAGACCCCGGCTGGGGGCCCAGAGCCCGAGAGGGGAGCAGATGAGGGGACTGCAGGTGACCCAGCCCTCCTGGACCTTCCTCCCAAGGCTCCGGGGCACACAAGAGAAGAGGGAGCCGGAATTGGGGAGGCGGGGAAAGCTGCCCGGCGGCCAGCGGTCAGGGCCCAGAGCCCCTGCAGCAGGAGCAGGGAGGCCCGGAGCTCATCTGGGGACTAGCAGATGCCACCGGCCATGTCAGCTGTTCTCCTGGGAACAGAGGAGGATCCCTGATGACACTGAAGCCAGATTCCTAGGGATCCCTCACGCTCCGAGTCCCCGCTCCTGACCCACATGTGTCCTCGGCATAATTTATGGGGGAGCTTCTGGCCTCTTCCCTGAGCCACGAATAGCCGTYGCTGGCCCTGGCCGTGGCTGCAGGGGGGAGGGCGGAGGAGCCCAGCCACGAGGCAAGCTCCCTGAAGGCAGGCCGCCCGCCCCCTCCTGAGCAGCACGTGTCTGGGGCTCACACTCAGGGGCTCCTGTGACCCCCTCAGACCACGAGTCTCCCTGCTCATTTCTCTAAATGGAGCTAATACCTGCCTCATAGGATCAGCGTGTTCACCACGTGTGCTCAGCATCTGTTAAGCACCTACTGTGTGCAGGACACCCACTAACGGGCCAGGCTCTGAATGCACCTTGTGATATAAACCGACTTGCAGTGTGTTAAGGCAGCTAACGCCGAGTACTCACYACAATGTCAGGCACACAGTAGGGGGACAGTGATGGTAGACATTATGCTAATTTCCTTGCTATGAGCCTGCCCCTCCCCTCTCTATCGCCCCTGCACACCTTGCCCCTCTCTATCATACAACCTATCACATTTGATTTCGTTCCTCACCCATCATCCGCTCTCACCCTGCACCAGCGTCCTGACAKAAGCTGCAGTTAGGGAACCGGCTCAGCAGCGATCAAAATACTGACGGAGAGAGACCACCAGGGGGCGCCACGACTCAACAGCAGGGCTACCGCTCTTCAGCGCCACCTCGAGGACGAATGTCGTAAGTGCGCTACAAGGACCCATCAGTCAAGAGTCTGAGAGCCCGAAGATGCCCGGGGCTAAGGATCCGGACTTTCCTCTCTATTGATCGTAAATATGATAACAGCCAAGATGCCCTGAGAGTTTCCTGTGTCACCATGGACACCATAAAGTTTCACGGAGGCGTTATGCTTGCAAAGCCCTTGAAACAGCGCCTGGCCCACAGTCCAGCTTGGTACATGCTGACTTTGTTATTTACTCCTCACACCAAGGCCCATAAAGTGGGTAGTATTCTTATCTTTGTTCTGGATCTGAGGAAATCRAAGCTCTGTGGGATCCAGAGACTAAACCAAAGACACTTACTCACCGAGTAGCCCAGTAAGATTTAGACCTCTAGTGGGCTAAACTGGCYCTCATTCATTCACTCATTACACAAGCGTTAGTTGAGCACCCATTCTGCAGCCAGTAAAAAGGACATAGAGATAAACCCAGCACACTGGGGCCCTCGAGCAGCTCCTACCACTATCGAGGTGCACAAAGGAACAGACATGACAACACAGGCACATACACATGGATGTACATATTTGCTTGCACACATTCACACACATTCATGTGCACTCATATGCAATTACACATGTGCATACATACACACGAAGCCAAGTACAACAGAGGGGGAAACTAAGAGACACATGTTTAGCACTTGGTTTCCCAGATTTTATCTCCAATGCAAGCCCTGGGGGCTCCCCRTTCACATCTGCACAGGGCCCTAGCAGGTAGGTTCAGTCTGAGATGAAGCGCAGGGTGAGAAGGCAGGGGGAAGGCTGGGGCCTAGGGTCTGGTGTCCAGCGCCATCATCTGCTGGCACAGAGCTCCAAGGAGTGCAAGGATCTTCACTTGAACTTGACCTTCC